ATATATATATATATATCCGTATTCTTCTGCCTTCAACTGTTCTTGTCATGTACCAGCTTTTAAATAATTTAAATGTTTTTCAGCCAGCTGCCTCAGGGGTAATTCTCCCACCTCTTCTCATTCACTCCATCAAAGCAATTTATGATTTCTCTTCATGTGATTCCCCCCCCCCCGGACTTTACTTCAAGCCTTTAATGCCCTTTTAAGATCTTCTCAAAAGATGAGTTTTCGGGTCAAGAAAAGCACAACCATTGTCCATCACTGGGTAAAGTCCAGACATCTTCCCTCAAGGGTTGTATTTTTCTTGCAGGTGCATTTCTTGGGCCCAAAGTTCTGTTTCTGGGTCTGCACCTAATCAGTGGAGGGGCCATAGTTCAGTGGCAGAGGATCTGCTTTGTACGCAGAGGGTCCCAGCCAGGTTCAACCCCCAGCATCTCCAGTTAAAGGGCCAGGGAACAAGCGATGTGATCTTTCTCTGACTCTGATGTGATCCTTCTTTGAGACTGGAGATATGCTGCCACTTGCATAGACCAAGTTCCGTTTCAAAATCCGTACCTACTCTCAAAGCTGTTATCCTCGCATTTACATACGTGTTATGTATTTTAGATAAGGATCCTGGCTAAACCCCAAAACCCTCCCTGACCCTGCCCATCACTGTCACCCCTAGACTATTTATGGACTCTCTTGCAGTTGTAATGTAGCCCTGTGGGTAGCTGACCTACTGAAACACTATGATACTTAGACAGGTGATCAGCTGACCTACAAGAGCTTCACATTACCAGCTGTACAGTCAGCTGATCTCTCGAAGCTGATGGGGACAGGGCTGGATGAGGTATATTAAAAAGGATAACTTCTATGAAAACCTATTTTGGCTTCAGCTGATGTTCTTAAGCGATCACTCAGGCAAACAAGGAGATACCCATGTAGTACCCAGGCTCTCATTTGGAGGTCCTTTGTTACACTGTTGTCAAGTAAGGAGTTAAGGTTTTGCTAACCAGGTAACATAAACCTTCTTCAGACATTCTAAAACTATATACAATTGATGCATGAACTATTTTGCCTTTGTACTCATTGTTTATGTGTGAACAAGAAGTAAACATATGGGCTGTATAGATGAGATCTGATATGTTCTGCATATAATTTGTCAGATTTGCCCACAAAGGAACTTTCCACGCATGGAGGCAGGCACGATGGGACTGACAGTTACAGTCCGTATGCCCCCCCCTCCCTTGAAGATTCACGGTTTTATGAGTGCTACATTTTAATGCAAGAGAAGCGTCTTAATGTCCTAATTCCCAGCATTGTGTCCCAGTTCCCACGATTCCAACAAGGAAGGGCGGGGCTTGACTTTTCACAGGATTGTTTTCAAGATGCGTCCAAGAAATTGCTTCCCCCCTTTTTTTTCCAGCCTATGTGTATACATACGGGAGTACTTGGCCTTGTACTAAATGGTTTTGTTAAGAAGGAGAAGCCTCACGAGACAAATCCTTTCATGTACGGCCACAGGGTGTGGGGAGGAGCACGTGACACAAGTCCATCATTCTGTGAAGAGTACTGTAATTCCATGTTAGGGACTATATCATGACCTGCACAGTTTCTTCTAAAAGAACACAAATTGAACAGGACTGTATCTTTTTTAATTTTTTAAAAGAATTCATATAACATAATTCTGTATCAAATTAATCCAAATTTTCCACTCAGAAAAGTGAAATTCAGCAACATATATATGTGTGTATACACACACACACATTAGACAACTTTTAAAATTTGTATGTGTGTCTGTACCTGGAAGTCAAGTCAACCTCTGGTGACTGACCCCTACTGGGGGCCTGGAGGATAGAAGTGACTAAATAAAGCCTGCTTCTGTCCTCCTGACTTGGTATTCCAAGGAAGTCTCCCATCCAAGTACTAACCACAGTCAATCCCACTTAGCTTGCAAGATCTGATGAGATCAGGTTTGTCTGGGCTATCAAGGTCAGGACAGACAAAACTTATTTGGTTTGTCATACATCCTCTTGCTAGCCAATGGAAATTCTACTCCACTTGCTAGCAGAGAGGGGCCAAGGCTCACGGGTAGAACCCATGTTTTGAATGCAGAAGCTCTCAGGTGCAGTCCCTGGCACTGCCAGTTAAGGAGCCTCAGGTAGCAGGTGCTGGGAAAGAACTTTCTCTACCTGAAGATTGATTCAGGTGGGTAGTTATATTGGCCGGCTTTAGAAAAGCAAGATTTGAGACCAGTAGCACCTTGAAAACCAACAAAGTTTTCCAGCGTGTAAGATTTCCAGAGTCAAAGCTGAAAAGGGGGACTTTGACTCTTGAAAGCTTCTGCCCTTGAAAATCTTGTTGGTCTTTACAGTGCTTCTGGACTTGAATCTTGCCTTTCTCTACCTGAGACCCTGTGGAACTGCCATGAATCAGAATGGACAATACTGAGACAGATAAATCAATGTATAAAGGAGCTCCTCATGTTCACTCCCTGGCTCTTGATATTCCTCTGTCTTAATTTTTTTTTAAAAAAAAAATCTGACAATCTCTCCATAGTAGTTTTCATTTTAAAATGCCCAGTTCTTACCTTTGTACATCCGAGAACACCTGATCACACTCCTTGCACTCTTGGATATCTTGCATATCATGGAGATCATTCTCCTTGTCAAGCTTTGGCTGAAATTCCTCTTCTACCATAGAAAATGCCGAGTGAGGTGTGCTGCATGGGAATTTCTGATGGTCCACCAGTTGTGCCTTGGACTCAAACAGCTGGTCACAGTCTTCGCACCGATACTGCCGCTCCTCTGTAAGGCAAATTGGTCATTATTCTCAACAGGTTTCCAATGAATGCAAGAAGCAACATTTCTCCCAAATTTATTATTAGGGAATGAAGTTCTGGTATTAAAATGTGGTAAGTGCCATAAGAAATTGCTGACCATGAATGTCTGGAGCCATTGTTTCATGGGAATAGTCTTCAGTCTTCATGAACAGAAGGAGTTCTTCCCCAGGTTCAATGTCTCTGACTACTCTGTAATATATCTGAAAAACAGAACTGCAATGAGTGGCGATAAGCACACAGTAACCAATGAGATTCTTCTATAGTAATATTTATTTAGATATCTCTCCAAAGACTTCTTGTTTCAAGCACAGACATGAGGTCAAATTAGCCATAACTGTAGTAAAGGGTACAGGAGTCTTATCCTTTAGGAGCTGGCCTTAGGTCACTGCTTGTTCTGTTTTATTGATGGTGACTGCTTGCCATTCGGATTTGATGCCACCCCAAGAACCACCCAGTTGTGGCATGGGAAGAAAATGTTTAAAATAAATAGCTAATAAATCAACAGAAGTTCCAGTAGCTGTGCTGGTTCCCAAGAAAAATCCAAAAACAAAAGTCATGTCAGCCTGTTTATCAAGACCAATCAAAAATTATACAAGCTTTCTGAGTTCTTCAGAACACAAACAGCACAGCACATACATTGCCTACTAAGGTCCCCCAGATTCAGTATCTGGAATGTCCAGTTTAAAAAAGAATCTCAGGCAGTAGGGCTGGGAAAGTCTTCTACCCGAGACCTTGGATCGCTGTAGTAAAGAGTACTGAGCAAGACGAACCAGTGGTCTGGCTTGATGGAAGTTGATTCATATGTTCACCGCTTAGAGATATGCTGAATATTTCCTGGACTGACCCCAAAGCTGCTTTTTGAGTTTTTATGCAATGAAAAAAAAAATATTTCCTAGAAGAAATACGTTGAAAAATATGCTGTGTGACAAGGAGAAGATTGTTAATGCCCTCTGTCAATTCACAAATCTTTCCTTAATACAGACTGTACAGGCAATTGACTGGAAAAAAAATTTCTTTGCAGGTCTGCCAATGGGGAGACAGATGTATTCAAATGCAACTCCCCTCCCCCCCAGAAAAAAATTTACAACCTCAGGACATCATAATATACATGGTTTGACTTTTCTCTCAGTTTACAGAAGCAGAAATGAATGGTAATTCCATGGAGGCAATTGGTGTGAAGCCAAGTACAGAATCCAGCCAGGGCTTGGATCCTATGACTGTACTCTGTGCATGCTGGACAGCCTCTGCTGTGGAATGCACTTCTTCTGCTGCTAGCACTTCCACTCATAAGAACATAAGAAAGGCCAATGTTGGATCAGGCCAATGGCCCATCCAGTCCAACACTGTCACACAGTGGCCACAAATACCAGGTGCCATCAGGAGGTCCAACAGTGGGGCCAGCGCACTAGAAGCCCTCACACTGTTGACCCCCCCCCCCAAGCACCAAGAAGACAGAGCATCCCTTGCCCCAGACTGAGAGTTCCTATCTATACCTTGTGGCTAATAGCCACTGATGGACCTCTGCTCCATATGCTTATCTAATTCCCTCTTGAAGCCGTCCATGCTTGTAGCCACCGCCACCTCCTTTGGCAGTGAATTCCATGTGTTAATCACTCTTTGGGTGACGAAGTACTTCCTTTTATCCATTCTAACTTGACTGCTCAGCAATTTCACTGAGTGCCCATGAGTTCTTGTATTGTGAGAATGGAGAAAAGTACTTCTTTCTCTACCTGCTCTATCCATGCAAGGGCTCACTGAAAAATACCAATGTTGTACAAAGGGAAGACCTAGCAGCAGAGGAAGTGTACTTCACAGCAAAGGCTGCCCAGTGCAAAGAGAATGGAGTCATAGGATCCAAGCCCTATATTGTAACATTGGGAAACGTCGGATTAATCATGAAGAACAACTTATGCAAGCAGAATATCTGGATATCACTCAGAAGTGCCTGAACAATATGGACCATGGGGAGGTACACCACCATCTTGAGACCTCATTCCAGCATGAGTAGAGGAGAGGGGCCATAGCCCCACAACAGAGCAAAGGCTTTCATCACAGAAGATCCCAAGTTCATGTCCTAGTACTTCTACATAAAGGATTTCAGGTAGCAAATGCTTTGAAAAACCTTCTCCGCCCAAGCTCCAGAGAGCCACTTCCAATTAAGAGTAGATGGTACTGAGTATGGTTGCCAACCTCCAGGTGGAGTTTGGAGATCTCCTGGAATTAAACCTAATCTCCAGATTTCAGGGATGAGTTCCCTCAGAGGAAATGGCAGATTTAGATGGTGGACTCTATGGCATTAAACCCTGCTGAGAGCCCTCCCAACCCCAAACCCTGCCCTACCCAGGCTCTACCCCCAAATCTGCAGGAATTTCCTAACCTGGCGACCCTAATACTGAGCTAGATGTCTCAATAGCCTAAACTCAGAGGGGGGCAATCACATGTGCGAGATACAGTGTGTGGGGGAAGCGAGGCTATTTCTTCCAGAAGAATTCGACCCGCAGTTGCACAATCACACCTCCCTTTGAAGCTGCGGGCACAGCCCATCAGTGCGTGATCAGACACGACTGCGGGTGAGTCGGGGGGGGGGGTTGTGCCATTTTTTCCTCATGCACTTAACCGAGGGATCAATGAATCGCATCTCTGCACTGAGGGCTCCCTATGGAGTTTGCAATGATGTGCATACTGCGAGGGGGGGGGGAAACAATGGCACGGAGTCATGATGGCCTGATCAGACCATCCAGACACCATGAGAGTGCGCTGGAATGATCAGATACGGGAAAGTGTGTCCGTGGCCCATCGCAACCCATTTACTACCGAATTTCCCCCGGTGTCTTTTAGCTCTGCTTCTACGGTGGACCAAAACGGGTTGCCAATGGCTGTGGGGTGTTTACCAGATGTTGTTGTCTGATTGCACCCATTCAATCTGCCCGGGATTCGCCCCTATGCAATGTTCCCTCTAAGCTGTGGAGTCTTGTGAGCAAAAATTCTACTTGGTGAGCTACTGGTATTAAAGCTGTGAGCGAGCAATTTGGTTACTGCATAAATCAGTTTGCTCTGGAGCCCTCCTTCCTGAGCTAAGACAAAAATGTGTGAGCCGGAGGCTAAAAAACTGGGAGCTAGCTCACACTAACTCAACTTAGAGGGAACACTGCCCCTATGCTGGCTCTAATTGTGCGTATGATTGTGCCCAGATTAAAGCAATTTTGTCTGTTTATGTATTTTTTTTTCATTTGCACCTTGAACATAATTTAAATGCATAATCCACCTGATCTCAAAGGCTCAAGTGGATAACAAAGGGGGAGGAAGTGTTACAAATGGCCAAATCCAAGAGCGTCAGATTCAAGCTCTGAGATCCAGGCTTAACCATAACTCCCAAGCGTTGTCCCAATTAAACTACCTCAATCACCAAAAAGCTGGTAAATTGCCAAGGAGTGGCTTATTTTCCATTTATTTTGATAAAATAAAAGGTTAGCTAGTTTTTACAAATGAATTTTCTTCACAAGACAGAATTCTCACCAGCCCAATATATATCTTCCTTGGGCATTTGTGTTTAACAGAGTTCCTGCACTTTGTTTTTTTTTAGAACAGGGGCCTGCAACTGTTTACAATTATGCAGCCAAACAATGTCAGAATTCAGAGCTAGAGATCAACAGAGAGCCAGGATAAGAAAATCCATTAGCATAACTGAAACTGCGCAACTTAACATGACTGATAACAGACTGAGAATCCATGAAGTTTCCACAGCCCAAACACTGGCTGCCGCACGTCCTTTATGAGGAATATTCACAGGAGCTCTCTGTGCAGCTGTTCTAGTGCACTGCCATAAACCCAGGGCTATTTTGGGGCAGGAACGCACAGGGACGGAGTTCCGGCTGACTTCTAAGTTGGCCACGCCCAGCAGGAACTCATTAGCATAATAGGCCACACCCAACAGCAGAAACGCATTAGGATTGGCTACATTAGGGGTGTGTGGCCTAACATGCAAAGGCGTTCCTGCTACAAAAAAGCCCTGGGTTTTGACAGCAAACAAGGTAAACAGAATAAGAAGCAAAAGGTGGGTGTGGCTGGATGGTAACATGGGGGGTGTGGTCTATAATGCCAATGAGCTGTGCTGTCAGGGGTGTGGCCTGTTATGCCAATGAGTTCCTGCTGGGCTTTTTCCACAAAAAAAGCCCTGCATAAACCTGCGCATGGTTCACACTTGACAGCTGTTCACCTCTATGATTTCCCTTTCTGTGAAGCATCTTTAAGAAGCTCTTTAGTCCCATAAACATCTATGCCTACCACTCCCTCCACATGCTGGCTATTCTGTCTGATGAAGGGAACTTTGACTCTCTAAAGCTTCCGACCTCCAAATCCTGCCGGTCCCTAAGTTTCTACTGGACTCAAACGTAGCTGGTTATTCTAGTGTCCCACCTACCTCTCCAATATGCATTCATTTTTTAATCTCCAATATATCTTAATTTTATCTCAAATATACCTTAATTTAATTATCTTTTTTCAAAGAGCCATGTTTGATTCCATACTGGGTCAGATTTTGGTTCTGGAGCCATAGGTTGCAGACCCTGCTTAAGAAAACAACTGTTTGTAATGCAGTTTCTAAGTGAACCAGTAAGAGGAAGAAATCTCTTTTTGATTAAGGCCATTTGTAAAGGCCTCAACTGATCAAAAATGAGGGTTTCCTCTGGAGCGCTCATGATGGTTTTGAATACGTTACTGATATTATTTCTCTTAAATTCTTATTAGAGCCTGGCCATCTGGCTAGGATTTATTCCAGGTTCCTGAGGGGCAGCTCTAGAAAAAGTAGTTTGGGGTTGGAAAGGCTTCGGGAAGGCTATTATTAGGGAAGCAAAGATTTTGCTGCATACATTTCATGCTGTTCACCATTATGTGTAAAAACAAGTGCCTGGGCCAAGTGGAGTGTGTTGGCTCTCCACAAACTGGTATTCTAAACCTTGTCTTATTCTCAGTCTAGAATCCCCATTTGACAGTTCATGTTGAAGTTCAGTTCATGCTGGTACCTGGGGGTTTTTTTTAGATTTTACAGCGAATTGGAGACATTCTTCAGTGGCTCAGTTATAGAATTCCTTTTCTCTCTCTTTTTTAAAGTAACTTTGTGACAGTTATTAACACCGGGAGCATACAATAACTGGAAACAAAAGAGTGCAATAAGAAGCAAGAGCTTT